AAGAACCCCATCCAGATTTACACGATCTAAACCTAAACGAGACTTGTTGAACCATTATAGTATCAAACAATCAAATCGATCCGAAATCAACACAGACAGACGCACCGATTTTCACGTAAATTCTTTCCAAAACGAAGATCGGCAACCAAACCACAACAATCAAGAGAAAGAATGTATGACTGATTAAAACACGAACCAATTCACGAGATTTGAAATCGATTTGAATACCTGTATGATACATCAGCTTGAGACATCCTTGGATGGTTGAATCAACAATGCTGCTCCTCTCTCTCTTCATGTGATCGATGGGGGTTTCTTATATTGGGAGTAGGGTTTGTAATGTTCTTGCCAAGTGGAAAGAATCGGATAGTGAAAGAGATAGGGATCAGCGCCAGCTGACGACTGCTCTTTACTTGTTCCAGATGATCTCTTGGATGGATTTCGCGAAAAAAGGCTTTGCTTTCATACATACGTAATGTAATGGTGTTGTGTGTGTATGAAAGGATTTCTTCACCTCTTCAACAGATACGCAAATTGGCAAAGATGACCCATCAGGTTTTCAGATGTGACATAATAACATGTTAACTAGTTAAAATGAGTAACTAGGGGTTGACAATGCAATGGTATAAGAAAATTTAAATATGGTTCACGCAAATCTTATATTTGATTCTTATTAAATGAATATTTAACTAAAAATAAACCACATTTGTTGAACTCTATCACGCCTAATGTCAAATTTTATTGTGAACAAATGGACTATTTTGTCTGTTTATGTGAGAGCAATGATGGTAACAATTGGTTCGATTTTTTTAGTCTTTGGTTGTTTCATGTGTTATAACTATCGTTATTTAATCGGCGACGATGATGATTTTTGGCGTTTTTTTAGATTTAACTAGAGATATATACAATGGCCAGTTAAAAAAACCGATTTTAGTGTTATGTTTGGAGAAATTAGGATTATTACCAAACTGATGGTTCCATTTTTGTTTTGATCGGATTTTGTTGCCACAAGATTAAGCAACAATTCGTCTTACAATGCTTCAATGTTGAAACATGTTTAAACTTTTACGGTCGTTGAGAAGTAAACCCTAAGAAAAGCATGCATCCAAGAAAGAAACCCTATTCAACACGAAAAAAATACAGTATAGGTTTACTGATTTTATTAAGTGTTGTTGATATTATATATGAGTAACAAGTGCACTCATATAAATTGGATCGAAGAATAATCTAGAATGGTAAAAAAAAATAATGTGACATTAACCGACGTTGATCGTTTGCCATAACTAACCCGACAAAGAATTTCATTACCTTATGCTCGTTATAATCCTGAATGTTGTAAATAAAAAATAAACCCACTTATTATTTTTAAATAGAAAAGATTCTCCAATAGGTAAGCAAAGCATAAATGGTTGTAACGATGCTCGTCTCTTAACGAGGCATGCGATTTGGACTATCAATTGTGCGCTATAGCGGTTCGCGGAGGTTGATAACCTACATTTTCAAAATAGCATTTTGTAATTACGTTGTCGCTCTTATCGACGCTATTGACCGCTATTTACCGCAAATCCATCAACGTTATACCACCGTTATACATGACTTTCCAATTTCATCCATAATGGGCTACTTCTATATTAAATATGTTATTATATGAAAACCAGGAACACATGAGTTGCGATCAATGCGATGTTCATCCCTCATTGTCGATCTTTCTGAATCGACCAAGGTTTGTGAATGGGGAGTAAGTAGCGAACAGTCAATTGACGACATACACTTGTTACAACTTGAATTCAGACTTCACTCCTTCAAGTGACCTCCACAACATCAACGTCTCTCCCTCAATCGACTTTCACACAATCGACTACTAGGTACGTGATGTTTCCTTTAATCCTTTGATCCATTTCTATATTTTTATCAGAATAACCCTTCTATATGTCAGTCACTCAGTTGTAAGTTATTGCAAATTTTATGTGTTGACTAAAATTGTGTTCTTCAGTTAAGTTTTATTTATAAATTTATGTGTTTACACTATAATTTAAGATTTCATATTTAATAAACTTTTATCAAAAGTAGTCCACATACAACCGAGTTTGTGACCCGTACACTATGATTATGTGAAGAGATATGACTCACTATGAAATTGTGAATCTGTGAACTTATGAGTTATGATCTTGATCAGTTAATATGTTAGGAACATAAAGCTATTAATTTGTGAATTTATGAAGTTATGATCTTAATTTGTGTCCATTTATGTTTGTGTACCGTAAATAATGTAATGTGAAACACGGTTAACCAACTGTGAATTGACAAATATGGAAGGGATTTCTTCACACGCTTCTATGAATCCGGCCAACACCATTCCTACTAATACGATATCGGATGTTGGTACAACTAGCACTAACGTGTGTGTGTGTGTATATATATATATATATATATATATATATATATATATATATATATATATATATGGTTTGGGAATGGGGAGTTCAAAAAGATCCAGTAAAAAAGCAAATATTTGGTGCACCTTGTGTGACAATAGAGTATGTGGAGGGATTACAAGGTTGAAAGAACACCTCACTCATACAGGAGGAAATGTAGTTGCTTGCACTAAGGTGAATACGAAGATCACCAAGAAAGTGCTTGAATCAATTAAAAAAAAGAGAAAAAAGGAAATAAAAAGAACAACGTAAATACTTAGATCAACAAGTTGTATAGACCTTTTCTGGAAATGAGGACGCGGAAGAAGATACCACACAACTTAAAAAAGAAAGTTTGTAAGTGATAGTAATGTACGAGGTCCTCTTGATACTTTTTTATAACCGGACCATGGAAATAATATGATTAAAGAAAAGTTGAGGAAGGTAGCTTGGAAAAAGTTTATGATTTGAGCTTATGCGTTAGGATTACCTTTTAATGTCATATGTAATGAGGGTTTCCAAGATATGATTGATTCCATTGGAGACTATGGGAGGGCTAGTCAACTTATTACCTTTCATATTTGATTAGTGTTAAGTTCTTAACACATTTCTACTTAGTATTTACTAATTTTGTTAATTATACAAATGTTAGGTACGTCTGCTTAAAGTTATCATAATATCCGGGGTGACATTGTTGAAGGACGTGTTAGAAGATACCAACAAGTTTGTGGATTTATTTCGACCACAATGAAAGAAATTTGGATGTTGCATTATGTCCGTTTTGGACATACGAGAAAGGAAGGTTTTTATAAAACAAAACTTTGGATCCTATTTTGTTAAGAGATGTTGAGGAGAATGATGACTAGAAAATACCAACGGAGGTTGAGCTTCAAGACTTTGTGGATGGTGGTGATGGTCTTCTTTCGTAAGATGTGCAAGAAGCAATGAGAGGGAATGTAGACGCTCGGCCAAATACTAGGAGAAAACAAGAGCGTTATAGACACGAGGACGATGATATTAAAGATGTAGGGGATGATCTTGATGAAGAAGTGAATGCCTTGGATGATGTTGACTCGCCGTGCAATGTGATTAAATTCTATTTGACACTTCGACACTTTCTACTTTCCATATTACTATATTAGAATATTAGATATGGTTTATGTTATGCTCTTATGACTCTTATGATATTAGTTATATATAGTATTAATTCTTAAATATATAAACTCTATGTAAATATATAATATAAATTATAAATTATATTAAAAAACCGTTATACCACCTTTATACCACCGCTATAACTGCGATTTCAAATAGCGCCATGTGACCGTTATTTAAATTTTGACCGCGATAACCACATAACATGCAATACAAATGTCGATGACATGTTCTAAAATAAAACACATGCATAAAGCCTAACAAGAGATACAAATATACAATAACATAACTTAAGTTGAAATATTATACTGAGAATAATATGCTTCATCAATGTAGTAATTCTTGACCCATTAAATTTTTAACCTTTTAAGTACATGTATCTTGCCAACTTATTATAGTTATGCAACACACTAGTTGAAAAGTTAGTTGGTAGCTGAAAAGTTACTTGCTAAAAATGACATTTGATAAAAATAAATAATGAACTAGTTGAAATATATAAAATGACATAAAAAATATGTAGAAGATTGAGTTTATGTACTATTAATAAATGAATTAACTGGGATAATTAAGAAAAAAACTCAACAAATTCGTTGTAACGTTAGTTTGAATAACTTTTCAAAAAGCAAATTTATAAGTTATTTTTAGTTAAGAAAAAAATGACAACCTAAAAAGTTTGAAAAATAATTTAGATTATAAGTTATGTTTAACCTTTTATGTACATGTACAATTTTATTATAATTAGACAACATATTAATTGAAAAATTAACTGATAACCGAAAAACTAATTGTTAGCCTATAAAAAATGACCTTTGGTAAAAGTAAATAATTAACTAGTTTAAACATATAAAATGATATAACAAAAAGATGTAGAAGATTGATTGTTTTTATTATTAATAAATGAAATATTAAAAAGGAAAAAAAAAATCAAAAAACTCATTGAAACGTTAGTCTGAATAATTAAAAAAAAAACTAGTTTATAAACTATTTTTAGTTAAAAAATGATAACCTAATAAGTTTGAAAAATAATATAGATTATAAGCTAGCTTGCTAGTGAGCTTCAAAACCATAATAATTTTAACATAAATTTTCACATCCTATAATAGAAAATACCTAACTTTTTTTCATTTCGTATTCCATCAAATAGATATGTCTTTTTTTTCACATAATAAAAACGATATTAGTAATATTAATTTGAAGCAAAATACTTTTATTTTTTATTATTCCTAATTATTTTACTTATATATTTAACGATTTTTTTGAATTATATTATATATCATGCTAAATGTGAGCCAATCCAAAATTATCCAAAGCTAATTTGAGTGTAGTTATTAGCCACTAACGGGACGGATCTAACATCGTTATCTGTTATAAAATCCATGGGCCAAGCTAAAAAATTTAAAGACCAGTTCACGGCCCAACACCAATCCTAAAGGACCCTAGGGTTTTTGCTATATGAACGCCTTCATACGTTTCTTTCTGCTGCCTCCGTAATCTCTAACCCGCCTCCTGCGAAGCTGATCGAGGGTTAGCCATGGTAATGCTCTCAATACATCTTCTTGTTCTAAATCAATGTTGTTTACTGAATCAGTGATGATTTGCTCATATGAAATGGCGTTCTATTTTGGGTTTTATTTGTTGACATTGGTGATGTTAAGTTAGCTCGAATTGGTTTTAGTTATCAGTCTTTGGATTTTAGGTTTGAGCATAGGTTGTTAGTTCTTTTCACCGTGTGTTTAATCTTCTATACATGACGCATGTGTTTTTTGAGGTATTCGGTTGTGTGCTGTTGATATTATTCAGGTAGATTCTTCTCCTTTTGTACAATATAAACGCTTAAATTGAAACTAGCCTTCATAAAATCAAGGGTTTTTCGGTTGTGATATATAGCTTTACGCGTGTTTAAGAGTTTTGTTGTCAGCTTTAGATTTCATGATACTGAAAAAACTTTATTTGGTATATCATCGTTGCTCATTTTTCTATAGCAGTTACTTGGCTAGATCTGCAAGAGGTTTAAAATATTTTTTAGCTAATCTGTTAGCTAACTTTTTCAACATTTGCTATTATTTCCCAAGGTTTTTGTCAAGTCACAAAAGTCTCGTTCCTACTTCAAGAGGTTTCAAGTCAAGTTTAAGAGAAGGAGAGGTATGAATTTCAATGCAATTTGTTGTTGTTTATATTATGTAATCTGTTCATTGTTTTAACTCTGATGTTTTGTCATACTTGTTGACCCTATTTTAAACTAATTTTAATCTATTGATGCAGAGGGAAAGACCGATTACCGTGCTAGAATCCGTCTCATAAATCAGGACAAGAACAAGTACAACACCCCAAAATATAGATATGTTGTGCGATTTGTATCCTTTTCAGTATATTACAGCCTTTGTTTATGCTTCAAAGAATCTGAATTTCATTCACAGTTGAAAATCCAATGATTAAAATATATGTTATTCTTAACAATGCTATTAGACTAACAAGGATATAACTGCACAAGTTATATCCGCAAGCATTGCTGGTGATATGATTCTTGCATCAGCTTATGCTCATGAGCTTCCCCATTATGGACTCAAAGTTGGGCTAACAAACTATGCTGCAGGTTTACCTTTTTCTATTGTAAATTTTGTCTAGTTTCATATGTATCTCATATTTTATAAAAGTTGTCTCACTTATTCTTCACAATATTTTTATATAGCTTATTGCACTGGGCTTCTTTTGGCTCGCCGGGTTTTGAAAAAGCTTGAAATGGATGAAGAATACCAGGGTAACATTGAGGTATGTAATCAGCATTGACACCATTTCTTTAATTTTTTTTATTGATATTTATATAATTTGAATAAGTTGTGATAAATGACCATAATTTCAGGCTACTGGTGAAGATTTTTCAGTTGAGCCTGCAGAAAGCAGGAGGCCATTCAGGGCTCTTTTGGATGTTGGTCTTCTCAGGACAACAACTGGAAACCGTGTGTTTGGTGCTCTTAAGGTATTATTTAATTACTTTTCAGCTTGTTTTTATTTTGTAATGATTGAAATACCGAAAATTAAATGTTTTATTTTAAATATGTTTCAGGGAGCTCTTGATGGTGGACTTGACATTCCCCACAGTGAAAAGAGGTTTGCTGGCTTCAACAAAGATGGCAAATCCCTTGATGCTGATGTTCATCGCAAGTACATCTATGGAGGACATGTTGCATCTTACATGAATGTGAGTTCATTTTATAACATCTCTCATAAAAGTCCTTTTCTATTATTCGTCTATTAATTTGACAAATTTTCTACTTTGTAATCTATGTAGACTTTAATTGAAGATGAACCAGAAAAGTATCAGACTCACTTCTCTGAATATATTAAGGCTGGAGTTGAGCCAGATAACATTGAGGAGCTTTACAAAAAGGTTCATGCTGCCATTCGTGCGGACCCCACACCCAAGAAAATTGCAAAGCAGCCACCTAAGGAACACAAGAGGTAATATTTTATAACTTATTGTATAATCTGTGTGATTTTTGGATTGGAAAAAATTGTTATCTAATTGGGTTTTTTTTTGTTGTTTGTTTGATTGTGTAGATACAACCTGAAGAAGCTAACTTATAATGAGAGGAAGCAGAAGCTTATTGAGAGGTTGAATGCTTTGAATGCTGCTGCGGGGGCTAATGATGAGGATGACGAGGAAGAGGATGACGAGTGAAAGAGTTTGAATTTTGATGTTTAATTTGTTTTGTTTAGATTAAGATACAAGAAGTATGTTTAGCAGCATTTTGAGGAATGTTGAACTTGTTTTTGTTGCTTTTCAAATGGTGGTAGTATTTTTGTTTTAGAGACATCAAGTATGTTTTTTGTTGTGTTCTTTATATCCGTCTTTTGTTGGCTTCTATTTTTTTTTATCATTTTATATCCATTATTATAACGTGTTTGTTCTTCTCTTTTTTTAAAACAAAATTTTTTGCTGATGTCATTGACGAATAAACATTATGTAGTTTTTGTATAAAAGACTTCTCAAAACATAACTAAAGGTCTAAAGCACACATAAACGTAATAAAAACATCCACAAACTTTCTGCTGATTATGTGGGTCGGAGTAGATGTTTTTAATGTTTTTTATTGGTTTAATCGGGTAATAAGTTTATCTGAACTGGACCCATTAAATTCAATGTTTTAAAAACCGGTTTGAACCCGCCGGTCGAACCGGGAACCGAGGGAGGAAACGGTTCAACTATCACCGGTTTTATGTTGATTTATGAACCGAATTGAACCGGTCGGTTTTTAAAAAACCTGGTTGAACCGGTCAAAATAAACCGGTTAAACCAAATAAAAATACGTGGAAAAGAACCATTTGCATAATAAATTTTGTTGATTTTTTTCAAATCTATTTAGTTTTTTCTAAATAAAAACATATGGTAAATGTTATGAAGTTTTTTTGATGTGTTTGTATTCATCTAAAATTATATTTTGTTTCGGTATTATACTTTATTTTCTTTTTGACGTATATGGATTGATGTAAAACATTAAAACTTATGGTTATGTGTTATTTTAATGTATTTGGATTGATATACAACTTATTTTATATGTATTTTTAATGTTTGAATTTGTAAACGTCAAATTCATGATTTATATATGTATGATTGTATGTATGTATAGAAAAATCGGGAAAAGTATGAAAATTATAAAAACCGGTTAACCCGACGGTCGAACCGGTTAAAACGGTTGAACCGAGAACCGGTCACCATACCGATTCAACTAAAAAACCGGTTTTTAAAACATTGAATTAAATTTAACATCCAGTTCAGTTAAATTTACGAAATATAACGTGTTTGTTCTTCTCTGTTGGTTATAAACATTTTAAAAAAAGTTTTAAAATGTTTGAAAAGTTGTCATAAAAAAACTTTCTAAAAAAGGTTAAATTTGTTTATAAAAAGTTTAAAAAAATGTTAAAAAAAAATTAAAAAGCCAGTACAAGAAGTATTTTGTTTATAACAAAAAGGTTATAAAAATTATAAAAATAATAATTTATAAGAGCATCTCTGATGAATAAGTCTTTATAAAGACTTATTTTATTTGCCAACTAGATTTTCCAAAAACAAATTGATAATAAAAAAAAAGTTAAAAAAAGATTTTACTCGAATGCATATAAATTTGTATAAACTTTTTCTCTTAATAATGACTTATTTTATTTGCCAACTAGATTTTCCAAAAGCAAATTGATAAAAAAAAAAAGTTAAAAAAAGCTTTACTCAAATGTATATAAATTTGTATAATTTTTTTTATCTATTAATAATGACTTATAGAATAAAAAAACTTTTGTGTAAATTTTCTTTTGCTAGAAGATTATAATTCTTTAAATAACGTATCAAAAGATAAAAAGTTGCATTTGAGATTACTCCAAAATTATAAAATTATAAATAAACTATTGTTACTAATTGTAAAAACCAAAAAAATAAAAGTTTGTTTCTATTTTATATGACTGGCAACTTGAAGGGCAGTAGGTTAAGCCTATAAACTAACTAATTCCAAAAATAACCATGATTTTCGAAAGACCATTTTTTGGTCATATTTGAACATGCATAATTTTTTCATAGAAATTCCTGACCTGAATTTTTTTGTTATTTATTTGTAGGAATAGCTATACATGGACGTATGACACTCCAAATTTATATGTCTATAACTTATACTTTTTTAGTTCTAAGGGAGATTATTCAACAAAAAATATGAAAAAGGGGCCAATTTTGAACCTTCTTAACTTTCGTATACGAACTCCATTTAGAAAAAAGTTGTCTTCTTTGTAACAAAGGTTATCCATGGGCATATTACACACAATATCGTGAACTCATATTTTTTTAGCTCCAAAAAAGGTACTCGATAATTTTTAATGCTTTTCAAGAATCACCACTATCATGGTTTGTCAATTCATATAAACTTCAAAGAAAAGTCTTTTTGACACTTTGATTACGAACTCCAGATAATTATTATAATTTTTTATTTCAACAAGTGTTAAATGCTTTATCCGAATTTTCAGTTTTTTTCTATATAATTATAAGTACAAAGCTAATAGCATTTATTAAAGACACACCTAATATCCCGTCTACCACTATTATCAAACCTCAATATAGATAACATAAAACTATAATAATTTCATATCATTGTATCACACCTCATTTGTAGATTTTATTTTCGCATAATAGTAAGAAAACTTCATATGTATCATAAAACTATAATAATTTCATATCATTGTATCACACCTCATTTGTAGATTGTATTTTCTCATAATAGTAAGAAAACTTTGTATGTATCTAGAATTGTAACATCCCAAAAAACAAAGATAAACTAAATCATTCCATTAAACCGGAATATTTGTAAAGGTTCCAAGATATTTAAAATAACAATAAATGAGTTTAGGCTATACGAAACGTAGTCTATACTTTTAATTGGTTTAAAATTTATAAATAAACATGTTTATAGAAATAAAGGGAAAATAAATAAAAAGGGGTTATTTATCAATATTTCCAAGTAATGGAAAATAAAGAAAATACATTTTTGTATATTCGTAAAATTTTTGGAATTAATATAAAAAGATAAAATAGATATAAAAAGAAGATAATTATTGGTCTTCGTCATTTGTTTGGTCCCTTGTGTCAATGTTGTCAAGACCAAGATCATATATATGTGATCGTTTTATGTTTTGCAAGATTGTGATCGTAAAATTCTACCAAAAACATTTTAAAACATAAAAAAACACATTTTGCCCATTAGTTAACCAATCAATTAACAATAAATAGTTGAAAACATGAAAAATACATCTCCAATACATCATTTAACAATAAGTGGTTCAAAAATTATTTTCTTGGGTTCATATCTGATCCTACAATCCTACTCCGAGTTTACTAAATACGACTCGCATATGATCGATATCAATTACCTAGGTAAGATTGTAAAAACATATGATCATACAATCAAGATTGCAATTTTAACAACCATGCCTTGTGTTGTCGGTGAAAGAAGCATGAGGAAGGCGCTAATATGAAATTCAACCCGATAATGAGACGATGAAACATTACCTTCAGTTATTGAGTCTGATTTCGAAAACAAAATTTATTTTAAGGAAGGTGGAGTTGTAATACCTGTGTTTTCGACAATAATTGTCCCGGTATATTTTATTACATTAGTTATCGATTATTAAATTTAAATATGTCGTAAAATAATATCCTATTATATATCTAATAATACTTCGTGTTTGGTTATTGATTTGTAATTTATTGACATATATTTTATAAGCTATATGTTATATAATTTTGACAGAGGTATACATAGCTGCAAGTAATATATTGCATGCATTTAACCAACTATATCAACTATATGTATATTTATGAATATAATCAACTATTCAACTAAGTACATTTAACCAACCTGATTCGACTTCAGTTGACATCTTCTTGGAACATATTCTTCGTTGTATAGGTGTTGCTAGATGACGTTGAATGAAAGGATACTTCTTTGAAGCGTGCGTCGTGTGTATGTAATTAGTTAGCGCAAATTAATGAATTTCGTATCCTCCAGGTACGTGATCAGCAAAAGGGTTAGGATAGTTGGGGACATTATGGTCAATCCAAGTCAAGGCAAAAGGGTTTTAAGTATTGAAGGGCAAATTGGTCAATTAACATTATGTTTTTAAATTAAAATGATTATAAAATATGAAAATTGATTAAAAGATTTTTAAAAAAAAATTAAATAATAAATTTGGGCATATATGATATTTTAAAGGTTAAGAAGGGTATATATGATATTTAGATTTAATGTCGGGTAAATATGATATTTTACAGCTTAATAAGGGCATATACGAAATTTTCCCAAGAGAAAAAATGTATTAATAACAGCATAAGCACACGTGTTTCAACACGTGTGAGTAGAAGAAGTATTGGTCAATATTAGCACCTAGTCTACAGCTTGTAATTAGAAATCAGTCGTATTTTATTCTATAAATTCCTTCATGTACTCAATTGTAAACTAACAATCAATACATATGAACTACTTTTGTACTCTTTGTGTCTTTATGGTATCCAAAGCCTATTTTTTTCTCTTCTCCATCGATGGCCAACAATTAGCATAGCCAACATATTGCAACCGGTTCCTCCTTCCAAACTCGAGACTGAAAACTACTATCTCTGGTGTTCCACCATAATTTATGCCCTAGAAACCTTTAACCTGGAGTCCTTTATCCTCGATCCAAAACCCTCCACCGAAACTCGAAATGTATCTCCTCCCACTGTTCCCCCAACCACAAAAATCAACCCAAATTTTCAATTATGGGAGAAACGAGACCATTATGTACTTCTTTGGCTAAAATCAACCCAATGTTTGTGAATCATGTCAACTTGGTAAGAGCCATCGATTTCCCCTTCCTACTTCACATGTAGCTTCTAAAAGGCCTTTTGATTTAGTTTTTCGGATGTTTGGAGACCATCCCTTTATTTTTCAGTCAATGGAAATTGATACTTTGTTTTGTTTATTGATGATTACACAAAGTTTGTTTTGATTTACTTTATGTCCCAAAAATCTCAAGTGTTTTCATTATTCTTGCAATTTCATCAAATGGTTAAAACTCAATTTTAAGCCAATATCAAAAGCTTACAATCTGATTAGGGAGGAGATTATCGTAACATTTCTACTTATCTCACCCAACATGGTATTTCTCATTGTGTCTCGTGTCCATATACACAAGAACAAAATGGCGATGTTGAGTGACGAGACCGTGTGATTGTTGAAAAATGCCTTACTTTACCCGCACACTCTTCTTATCCCCACACTTTATGGGAACATGCATTCAAAAATGCCATATATCTCCATAATCGTACTATTTCCCCTGTCCTTCGCTATCAAAAAC